AATCAACATGGAGCTGATGCATACTGCAGAGCATCGTCGAAGATTGAAGAGATTCAAACCACAAGATTTACCAAACCGATTTTAAATATTGATATTAATGTGTGCAAAGTCATAAACCACAAGATTTACCAAACCGATTTTAAATATTGATTATTAATGTGTGCAAGTGCATAAAAATTACGTATATGTGAAGTGGGGTTGCTGGATCTTCACTTCATTAATTATTATTATAGTGTCCTTTTTTAACTTACTTCACCACATTCATAAGGCTAGATATCAATGTCAGATGATAGATTGCTTTAAAAACAATAAAAAAAAAGAATGAACAAAGAAATACACAATTATAGCAATAAATCGCTTAGTGCGGCTTGAATTAGTCCTGATTCACTATATTCCGGTTTGCAAATTGTAATTGAACAAAGTAAAAATTAAAAAAAAAATGTGTACAAAATTATATTTTATACAGTCCCCATTATTTCGTTCCTCGAAACGGTTTAAAACACAGTCCAGGAAATTGGTGAAACCAATTATGAGATTTTTTGTTTGTTTATTTTATTAACTAATTCATGAATTATTCTGCTAATTTCAATATGGTATAGATGGGACACAGCCCATTTGATTGTTGTAGACGAGTCGCCTCTGTTTCTATTGTTTTAATGAAATTTTTCTTAATATAGTAAAATTTAAAGAAAATGAGTTTACTTCAATTATTTATATTTTTTATGAAAGAAACAAATGTAAAAAATAAAAATTCTCTTCAAATTTCACAGAATGAAAAATTAAATTTACATAAGAAATATTACCGAATATCTTAAATTTAAATGCAAATAGTAAAATTGTAGAAAAACATCAAGAAACGGTAGTATTTATTTATTTTTTGCAGACTTTATTACGTTTGATTCAATTATCCAAAGCCTTTGAGCCATTTTTTTTGTAATATTTAATTGAATTAAAAAAATAAAAACGAACAATAATTAGAAATAAAAATGTAATGTGCTGCTCCGAAGACTTATTTTATTAACAGGAAATACCTTAAAACTGGCACTTTTCTCCAGTTTGTCGACCCTTTCGGTAAAATATGAAATTATAAATTATATTTATTTCAAAGTGAACACGAATATTGTATTAGTGATTTATTTAAGAAACGTTTCAAAATGTGTATTTTGAAAATATTTCTTTCCGATAATACTGTGAGTTTTGTAACTGAATGCTGTTGCCGCCAATGAATCTCCTGTGTAGCTTAAAGAAACGCTTTCATGGTTTCCATTATTAAGTAAATAAAATACGAGGGAATCGGTATTTCAATTTCCCATGATAATAAAGCGAGGAAATTGGGGAGAATGTCGTCTTTTCCGCTATAGAAGAAAAAAAAAAGAGATACAGTAGAATCAGAAGACTGGTTGGGGGAGAGATCGATTTAATGGAATCTGTGGTTAGACATGGAAAGCTCATCACCGGCCCATTTATATTCTGTTTGCCGTCCCCTTTTGCCAGCGCCAATTAACACTAAATTCCTCTTAATCGCCTTCCTTCTGCAACGCCGTACATTTTTTTGTTTATTTCTCTCTTCGGAAATGAAACCATTCTCGGCTAAAACTGTATAGCCCTTCGAGAGTAGAACAACCCAATTCGAAAAACTCGAAGCAATGTTTTTCTTTTTCACCTTAACAAAAAAAGGTCCTAAAGAGGAGAGAGAGGAGCAATATGCATATTCATGACCTAGTTGTAATTAATTTCTTCTTGCCGAGTGCGATTGTGTTTACCGAGCACTTGACATGACGACCTGTGGAATCTCCACTTCAAGCCTCGGTGCCATCTGTTTCATTTGTTTCGCGGCCCACGCTGCAGAAGGGCACAAAAAAAAATACACAGAGGAACACCCCTAAATATACTAATTTTGTAGTTTAACTGTTTCTGCTTCGCTCGGGCTTCAAAAAAAAATAAAAAACGAAAATATAATAGAGAACGCGCTTATTTGCTTAACCGGCAGATTAAGCAATTCAATTATAAAAGCTGAAACGTTGTCTGGGAAAAAGCATAACGTAAGCTTGAATATTCATCGACAATCCTGTACATTTTCATTAAGCTTTTCCATTGTTTTATTTATTTTTCTTTTATACTTCTTGGATAAACGCTGAGATGATCTTGTTATTTTTTTTTAGAATATTTTAAACACTTATTAATAAGATTTACTGTACATTTATTCACATTATCTGTATTAACAACAACATTTCAATGTTTTTTAAATAAACTAATTTCATAATTTCTTATAAAAATTAACAAAACTATATTATTTAGGATAAAGTCTATTTATATTGTCTAGTTTATAGATATATTTAAACTATTTTACCACAATAAAAGATTTCTTACTCCACATCGTATTTACTTATTTAGAACGTGTTTGTTAATGGCTCCGGTGGACGCCTAAGATTTACAGCTGCGGTCGGGAATTGAATCCGCAGACTTTTGATCTCACAAATCCCGGAATAAATTGTGTCTACCGTGTGTACAATTCTACAGAATTTACCTTTTTGCACCGACTGAACGTTCACATTTTAACAAACATTAATTAATTAAAGCCTCACTACGTGCGTTAACAATAAGACTACACGACTTAACTTTCAAGCATTAAATTACATTGGTACACTAATTGTATGCGTATGTTTGTAATTACAGTTGTAAGGCTGAGATGATTAATTAATGAAAGTTTTAATTGAAAATTAAAATGGAACACGTGAATGAATATTATAAGCATTATATGAATGTTTATTTTTTTGGTGTGTGGAGATTTTGAGGATAAATTGCGAAGTTGATTCTTGGAGTTGCGTTTTTGTTTGATGGTTGAGCGGAAGTGAAGACGGGGAAGAGGGATGTTTCTGGAAGCGGAAAACGGAGGACAGACTGAAATTTAGATGAATTGCCGGTGCGATCCGGACGAAAACGGCCTGAAACTTGAATATAATCGTCGAGACTTAAAGTTGCACGTTCGACAAACATTAAAGCGGAGTTACGCAGTGGGCCGACGACTGGAAAGTTGGCACGTCTCTCTCTCTCTCTCTCTTTGCTTCCTCGTCCTTTCTGCAGCGCGTGTAAGGACGAACCGAGGATCCGGCACCTGCCTCAGGAGCAATAGGAGGGAGCGAGGAGGTGCGGTGGTTCCAATGTGTAAAGTTGCCTAGTCCTGGCTACGTGAGGGGCATTATCAAAGGACAACAATGCCGAGCCAAAGATCCTTCCTCGCAAAGCTGCAGTCACACCGCTACTACCCAACTCCCTCAGAGTCGAGTGTACGTTGCACGCATAGATTAATTAAAATCAACTCCCTGGGATTTCAATCATGAATATGCAGCGCGATTTTTGCTTAAAAGTAATTTAGACTAATGCTTCCAGACCCCTCTCATTTTTCTCGACTCTATTGCTTCTTTTTTTCTCTGTTCTCTCTCTCTTTCGCCCTTCACGTTCTTCCTTTCTTTTTATATATATATATTTTTTATACCTCGAGTCTGGCAGTGGGACGACGCATAAATAAAGCTGCCCACTCCATAAAGCACTAATTAAGTCCGCTATCTCGCTTTCAATTATTCTTTTTGATTCGATCTACATCATAGATACACCGAGAGATGATCAAATCCTACAAAAAGAAAAGAACAAAAGTAACATTATGAATATTAAAAGATAAAACATTTTGTTAATAAAATGATTATTCTTTGCTAAATCCTCATTTTTGTTTTCAAAAATACTTTTACTTACTTTCTGTATTAACTCTGTTAATTATGATAATTATTTTTTTACTTATTTTAAATGAATAAATATATTATGCAAACAAATATACATGTAAATTATTTAAATAATATTATTGTTCAAATTTTCTTTAAACATTAAATTGTTTCAATCAATTACAATTTTATTAGTAAAAATATAAGCAAAAATTTACAGTTTCCTCGCATGGAATCAAATCAAAAAGCGTTTCTTCATTTCGTTCAACATGGTGCTACCAATATCGTTTGGTGATTTAGGACAGGTGACTCCTGCAGCTGTCAAGGTTCTGATCTTGTCTACAGCCTTGCCTTGACCTCCTGATACAATGGCTCCAGCGTGTCCCATCCTACGACCTGGAGGAGCGTAAAGACCTGCAACGTACGCCACCACAGGCTTCGAACCTTTCCCCGAGTTATTCTTTTTCAAATAGGCAGCTGCCTTCTCCTCCTCGCCACCACCAATCTCTCCAATTATGACAATACCTTTGGTGTTGGCATCCTGCAAGAACAGCCTAATTCCATCCACGAAATTTGTCCCATTGAAAGGATCACCACCGATACCCAAGCATAGGGTTTGCCCTAAACCAACGTCCGTCGTTTGTTGCACAGCTTCGTAGGTGAGAGTACCCGATCTGGAGATGATACCAATACATCCCTTCTTGTGGATTGATCCAGGCATGACGCCGATCTTGCATTGATCAGGAGCAATCAATCCAGCGCAGTTGGGTCCAATCAAACGAGATTTTCCTTGCCTCAGCAATCCATGCTTGATCTTCACCATATCGTGTTGAGGAATACCTTCGCTGATGCAGACGATCAAACCGATTTCCGCTTCTATAGCCTCCTGGATGGCAGCTCCAGCCTTCACCGGAGGCACGTAAATGACGGAAGCTTCGCAGTTCGTAGCCTGTTTCGCCTCTTTCACGGTGTTGAAGACTGGAAGATCCAGATGCTTCTTTCCTCCTTTACCTGGAGTCACGCCTCCAACCATGTTCGTTCCGTATTCCACCGCCAGTTTAACGTGAAGGGTTGCATGTTTGCCAGTGATTCCTTGGCAAAGAACTTTGGTTTCCTTCTTCACCATCAGATTCGGTATGGTGTCATCGTAACCCGCGTATCTCACTTGCTGCTTGAACAAAACCCCCAACCTTCTCAACAAAGCCATTCTGCTTACGTAACGCACCAAATTTCCAATTTGCGAGGAGACTTCAAATTATTTGACGTTTCTAAATCATCCATTGCAATCTTCGATTTACTTCAATCCAATTTATACAGTTATGTTTCTATGACACTATTCAACATCAACATTTTTGTCCTGCACTCTATAATCGTATAAATTAACTAATGAAGATTTAGTCTTAGTGGGATCATTTTGTGTTTTCCTGAATACAAACCTCACCAGAGTCTAACTAGAATATCATGCAATTATTGCATCACTAACGTCGCCAAATGTTAAAACAAATTATTTTAGTGTTAACAACATTCTCTATGATTTTAAATAATTTTGAAAGAATAAAATACAATAAATTTCAATTAATTTATTGCGAATGCATAATTATAATGATAAATCTTATATTTTTAATATGTATTCATTCCTTGATTAATCATTGAATTAGGTTTTGGAAAAAGTTTTCTTTTCTATACTTTCGATAATTCCAACAATAAAAAATAGTATTAATTTGTGTGAACGCAACTAAAAAAAAAACAATACATGAATAAATTCTCATATATTTCTTTTGTAACTTAAATTTTGCATTACTTTAAGTATTGATTGTAATGCTTTACTTTTATGCAATTGTATACGTAATGATGAAAATAGCATAGGTGTATAAAAAATAATATCCGAACGAAATCCTTGCAGCCATAAAAGAAAGCAGCAGGAAGCAAGTTAATATTCAGGGGCCACAAATCAAGGCATTTAATTTACGATTGCAATGCAATGAGGGACTAGTAATAGTTGCCCGTTCCTGCATACGGGTTTTAATTAAATTGTGGACTTTTACTGCTTAATAAAGTTCCAGTATACATATTTTTTTTCTAATCTGAATAAGTGAATAGGAAAGCAAAAAAAAACACGTAAATTATATTTTTTTGTTCTTGTATTTTATTTATCGTTCCGTCGGGGGATGAAGTAAAAAGAGATAAACAATCTCCGGATTTCCACCCTTATATACGCATCCTACTTCATTCTTTTTTATGTGTGTGTGTGTTTGTTCGAGGGCGCAACTCATTTTGATTAATTTTATTTTTATAATTATATTAATAACTCAGATTAGGCGCGGGCGCAATAAATTTGCGCAATAATAAGAGTAATTCGTGTGTTGGTTTCATAATAAAGTTGGGGATGATGGAAATGAAAGGGACAGAGAGAGGGTGTAGTGTGCGTGGGATCGGGTAGTTATCTGATATCAGCGACGACGTGTATAATGTGCACGTACTCTGCGGGAGTCCGAAGAACCCCAAAGAATACCGCAAAAAATAAAAATGAAACAGGCACAAATAAATTACGCAACGGGTGCTTCATCGCTGCCCCCGCGTTGTTGAGATAGAAAGAAAAAAATGTATATATATAAAAGACGGCAAGCAAATAAATTTCAGATTAGGAAAATTGCCGAAAGCAATTTATCTTTAATGAAGATTAAACGTTATCTTTGTTTGTAGTAAATAAAGTCTTAAGTCTTTGTTAAGGAATCTCCGTTTCGTTTACCGTATAATCTATGGAATACGACTTATTTAATACTGAGGGAAAGAGGTTTTTAACGTAAATCAAAGTAAACGTTTCAGAAATTTCAGTTTCACTTTCATATAACAATTGTGTTTTAATTTATCTCATTTGTTCATCATGTTCTTAATATACATGTTTAAATGTTCTTTGTACATGATAAAATCATGAATTGTTATTGAAATAATCAATTTTAGACACTTGGTTTATCAAAAATTTGATGTTATAGCTTTAAATTGATGAAAACTTTCTAAACATTTTTCAAGTTTAATATTTTTACCTTCTTAATTACATTATTTCAGATTTTTTTTATGTCGTGTAATTTTATTTACAATCTGTTCAAAGTGAATATTGAGTAAATTTAAGATCGCGATTGACATTAGGTCCATGAAGGTCCATTTGCTGAACCTCTTTCATTTCATTGTCTATCTGTGATGAACGATGGCCCTATTGCTGTAAGCACCGAGAGGGCTCACAAAGGGCCTTTCTTGACCAGGATTTGAACCTGTGACCACTGGCACGTGGGTAGGGCGACTTAACCATTCGGCTATTAATCGCCCTTTTTCTAAATTTGACTAGGCTTTAAAATGTATTGTTTACCTATATTTCAGTTTTACTTTTTCTTTCTATATTTTTTTAGTTTGTATATGAATGTTTCTTCGTATGTTCTAATTAATCTTACGGTTTTTAAGTTCATTTTTTATTGAAAAAGTTGACTTTCACAACAATTCTAATCCCCTTACAATCTAATACCTAAATGTGATTTAGATTCTATCATTTTTTCCATTTTAAATTTATTACCTCCAAAAATTCAAATTTGTTCTAGCTTCATCAAACTTTACTTAAATCTAACGAATTTAGAAAATTTTCTTCCTGTTTCCTGAAAAAAAAAAATCCCTTATTATTGCTAAAATTGGAAAATCGGTTTCTTAGAAAAGTTGATATTTGAAAGAGTCGGTTTATGTACAAGCTTATTTAATATAGAAACATAATTTTGGGAATTATCTCTATAATTTTGCATATATGTTAGGAAAGAACAAATGTTAATAGTTTCAAACTGATTTTGTTTGTTTTTTAATATATTTATAGAAATTATCATTATTTTTTTGTTTAGAAGAATTGTTATTTTTATATTCATAGTTTCCCTTCTTTTATTCTTCTATTACCTTAGGTACATATGAATAACAATGCGTGGTTTCGATTTCCCAACAGATCTCGTTTCATCCAGATTTCATGTTTTCCAATTACAGCATCCAATTGCATCCCAGATTTTTTGTTGTTGTTATTGTTACATTATTCGTCCTATATAATTCTTTGTTATTTAAAGTCACTGTGGGACTTCACTTTTATTTCATCGTAAATATAATTATGATTGTTGTTTTATGCAAATTCAGTAATTTATAACATTTTTTTTTTATATATTATTTATTTATTATATATTTTATATATTTTTTATATATTAGACAATTTATTTACTTTGGGTCAAAATTTGAAATACAAATATTTCTTTCTGTAATTTATTGAAAAAAAAATGATTTTAAATGATTCACATTAATTAATCTTATATTGTCCTTTACGTAAGAAATCAGATGAAAATAATGGAAATTTAGTTTAAGTTTAGTTCTTTTCTATACAAAATTACACAAGAAATGAGATAGAAAAAATGAAAATGTTAGATTGAAAATAAGTTGAAGTTACAATTATAATTTTTATTATATAAATTGTAACATTAAAGATTTTTGTTTAATATTTAAATTTGTGCGATGAATTGAAATGTAAATTCAATGAGTAATGGAAATCAGTGATGCGGAGGACAAACGGTTATAAAATGAATTCGCCTCTTGATATGAAGGACGTCTGGGGAAAGAGAAAAAGCAAACACTTGGAACTGAAGATTTGAAAATTAAAATCAATTAATATTTGTGTGTGTGTTAGAGCTGAGAACGATTAAAATGCAGTACAATGGATTTTAATGGGTCGTCGCGAAGCTTAATGAAAACAATTTTCTGGATGCTGAAGGCGAAGCCCGGAGAGCATATTCCTTTCTACGGTGTAGGCAAATCCTTTAATATAATTTCTATTGAGGAGAGTTGGAACAATGGGAGAGGAGTTCGGAGCTTCGGTCTTGGGTTTGGGGAAACAATAACAGGACAAAGCATTAAACTGTCAAAGTTCTTTCGGTGGAACTTAAACAGCAAGTTATTTATTATAAATGCGAGGCGAAAGACGCGCCGCGACTCTGGGAAGAAGAGTGCTGTTTCGTATGTTGTTGTTTGTGTTTGTATGTGTGTGTTTTGGAAGGAGATGGAAGATTGGAGGAGACAAAAGTTAAAGTAGTAAATTCCGGGGACATGTGGAGACGCGTGGAAGTTTATCCCTGAAGAAGTAAAGAAATAAAAGGAAGAAAGAGCATCAGCAGCCAACACCCAGGCATAAAGCAGAGGGGAAGTGAAAAAAAAAATGTAAGGAAAAGCGCTGCAAATAAAATAAGGGAAAGAATAAGGAGTAAATAAGTAAAAACATTGGGTTTCCCTCCATCTGTGTGGAGAACAAAAGCTGCAGGTGAAAAGTTATCCTGGGTTACTGCGATCCGCGGAATAGTGGAGGAGACGCGAGAGTTAACGGCCATAAATTACCACCGCATTCCTTGCGCCATTCAAAGAACAATTTATTTATTAAAAGCCGAGACAATAAGAATGAAAACGAGAGATTTAGAGAGGAAGAAATTAAGGGAGGAAGAGATGGGAACGCCGCGAGGCGCGAATTACAAAACAACGGCAGAACAGAAGAAGTAGAAGTAAAAAAAAAGGAAGAAGAGAAATCTGCATTCTGCATCGTAATTTCAAAACAACGATTTTCCATTAATTTCCACTGTCACCGGCACGCCATTATTATTTACACTTTTCGCCAGTTTTCCATGCCTCCGGCGAAAAATATAAATTTAAATTATTATTTTCTCCTCTTCTCTTCAAGCTTTACTTTTTTTTTTCATGACGCAGAATGAAGAACATTTTACAAGAAAATTGAAAAAAAATCTACAAAATATTTAGAAACTAGCATCTGTGGATAAAAAAATATTTTATGTATAATTAAAATTATCGGTAAAAAGTTATATATTTTAACATTCAAAATTATTGATTTGTAATTTTCTTTATGTTCCAATTTCATTTATGCAAATGAAATTGCATCTTAATTGTTTGTCCTTAAATCAAAATGTGTTCTTATGAGTAAATTTTAGTCCTTATTTCTGAATTTATTCATTAACAATCCTTCTATCCTGATGCCTATCTATCCGAATAATTTCTAACGAGTAAATTTTAGTCCTTAATTTTAAATTTATTCAATCAACGTCCTAAACATATGCTTATTTATCAAAATAAGTTCTTATGAGTAAATTTTCGTCCTTAGTCCTTAATTTATTCGTTCACAATCCTTTCATACATATTTATCAAAATAAGTTGTCATTAGCAAATTTTAGTCCTTA